GACATTCACAAGTTTAGAACAACATTATAGGAACTGACTGAATACATATTTTAGGGGAACCAGAATAAACTGTGGTAACAAAATAGGTTAACACAATTGCCTACTGCTGTGTCAGCGTTTAGTTTGCCTAAACCGGTGGGGGATAGACTGTAGGAGTCATTTTTCTTTAGGATACACCTCTCGTGACTGATCTGTGTGGTTTGTTTGTATGTGTCACCTCCACCCTTAGCACTGCCTTCTGTCATGTTTCTTTCAATGCTTATATATGTCAGAATAGACCTATGTTGCGTAGAAATAGGTCAGAAATAATGGGGGGGAGCGAAACATTGATCTCAAGAATGACTCCCTCTGATAGCTCGTGTTAATTTTCCACACACTCTTTCCCAAGAGGGCTGGATACAGATGATTATTATCCAATATCTTTCAAATGAATCAAGGTGATTTTTCCACGGCGGAATAATTAGAAGATGAATATGTGACTGCCTGGGTTGAAGAGACATTTTAAATTGAACTTGCAAGTGGTTTATTCTGAGCGTGGAATTAAGTAAACATTCCTCTTTAAAGGTGACATTCAAGATACAAAAGTTTTATGTAATAGTGAATGAGAAATGGTTCTAGTTTAGTTAGTTACATGTTTCACTTTTTCATTAAGAAGTTAAATATGTATCTAACAAATGAATTGCTTGCTCAAATGAGGTACTAACATTTGATCACCACATGCATTCTACAATATGTAAGTCGAACCAACATTTTAGTGGACAGCTCAAAACCAATCAAGAGTTCTCATATAAGAAATTCTGGGGTTTATAAACAGTATTGTAACGGTGGATGTCTTTTTCAAACTGTTCAAACATAGACCAAAATAAACAGCCAATAGCAACAGGACCACAGAGCTGTGTTGCCTGCAGAACTTTAATGTTTGTCTGTCTTGACCTTTTGTAATTTTGTCACACTTCTGTGTTGTTCTCCAAAAATGGGCGTCATGTTTGTGATGTAGCAGATGTGATTTCAAACAGACAAAACTACACGAACAATGTAGGCACTCATAATTGCTAAAAGTCCATTGTGCGCATACACATAGAAACGTCAACGCTCACACATGATGGCTAGAAAGCCACTGTCACCTTAAGACTATGAAAGACAAGTATACTGAGACAGGTAAAGGTACAAATCCACCAAATGGATTTTTTTGTGCTTTATAATGGTGTTGTTTGCATCAAGTCAACAACCACTAAAATATATGAACCCTCTAAGCATATTGTATCATAAAGACCACATCATGAAGCACTGGGATGCACACATGCTTAGCCCAAAGTCCCCTTGAGAACTAGTTCTTCATTGGGTAAAGAATGACAGAATTATGAGCGACATTCCACTATACACAATCATGTGTGAATTTGTTACAGGGACATTGTCACAATTTTGTTTACCTTTAAAAATATATTTAGATTATATCTTACTACTAAGACAAAGATTAGTATCAATACCATATACTAATGCTTGGTCCAGTACGCTTAGCAATTAATTACAACTCGTATATCCAACAGTGTTGTATGTTTTTGCTGAAGTTTCTGCCATGCTCTATCATCTTGTCCTCTTTTACTCAGGGCATTTGTCAATGTGTGCATATGTGTGTATCTCCAGCGTCTTGTGTAATCTAGTCCGGTTTGTCATTGCTGGGAGCGCCTTGCTGCGTCAGTGTATGCCAGTATTCCACTTTCTTTCCTTTGTTTTTGAGACAGTCGAACCAGTGTCTGAGTCTCTGTCCACTTGCATTGATCCCCAATTCCACTCCACCTGCAGGACAAAAGAAATAGACAATGTACAATAAACCCAGTGCATGAGTGAGCTAATATTAATAACAACAATCAAGGCTTTATCCTATGTTGCTTAAGACATTTCTCATAACAATAATGTCTCTCTCACATGAATGATTAGGGAACAGGATTGCCAAGAAAATGTGTATTTAAAGTGAAAGACCATTGGAAAGGTAGGAGAAGCCAAAAGGTTTGTTTATTGCTCATATATTGAATAGGGTAATTTCTTTTTATTTCCTTTTTACATTATTGGGGGATATTGAAAGAACTAAAGAAATATGACTCTGGATATTCATGTTGGTAGTGTTTTTTTCTGAACAAAAAGAGCACATTTGAAACAGGACTGAAGAAGAAGGTATGGCAGGTGCCAAGAGGTTATTGGACATATGCTTATGTAACGCAATGCCAATTGGCACACCAATAGTATGCATGGTTCCACTGTGAGGCAAAAACCAGTTATTTTCTTTAGCTCACACTCTGCACAACAGTGCAGCAGATGTTTGGACAGGATGATCTCGTATACAAGTGCGTCACCTTCAACTATGTCCTAGTGGCACTCCCACATCTATGGACAAGATCAATGAGGTGTTGCCAGAGCCGCTGCGATGCGAGCGACAAACAAATGGTCAGCCAACGTAACGAGACGAGTGGGGGGACAGCAGAAGGATGAGGCTCTTCTCCAGGTCAGATGAAGAAAGTGTGCAATGTTGGAAATGTTTTGTAATTGACAAATGCATGTCTGCAGGATGTCAGGAAATGGCTGGACAAACCTATGTATTATAGGCAAGGAAAGATGGAGTTTAACGTTAATCAGTTTTAAAGTCAAACTATTATGAGAATTAAGTTGAAAAATTATTAGAAAAAAGTTATAATATAATGAGAAAAAAGTAAAAACATTCTGAGAGTAAAGTCTTACGTAAAAATACGTAAGCCGTAAGTAAAATTACAGCCTTATTCTTGTTATTTTGTTTAACTGCTTTGTATGATGAAACGCTCCATCGTCTCCAGTATGCACCGACTGACTTTTATCTAATAATGTTTCAAGTTTATTCTCATAATAATAATAATGAACAAAAGTGATTCATAATAGACCCAATTTAATTTAAAATTTTATTGAAAATGCATAGAAAAGTAATGATGAAATAGAATTAATTAGATAATGAAGGCCGACATTGGCTACATTCATGGCTTAATAGTTCACGGCTTTTAAATAGCCAACTGTAAATTCAACACTATAGTGGTCCAGCGTGGACATCACCCAAGGACGTGCAGTCAGGGAGGCAGAGCCTCGCCTGCCATTATGGAAATAAATAATTATTTTATTTCATACTTGTTATTGTTTTCCACTATCCTTTGCTTTTAATATATTTTCAGTATGGTTCCGACCGATCAGTGGTTCTAAACCTTTTTACACCAAGTACCCCCTCAGAAAATACTTGCCTCTCCAAGTACCACCACAAATGACCAACACCACACAGTAGCGTAGTAAGCCTAAGTATTCATCTAAAACAAGGCAGAGGTTTCAATCCTAAATAAGTATATACAGTATTGTCAGCCATTGTAACATTTGACACAGGAAGAAAAAAAACTAAAAACTGTACTTGAATAATGATTCAATTAAAATGTTCAATTCATAACGAACTGCAAAGCCTTGACTCACCACTGTGAATGATATTCTGGAGTGGGATCTTTGTCCACAGAAGGTTTGGACACTGGTGCACTTTTGTTTCTAAGGCTCGGTCTGCTGCCCTCTTACATCTGCCATATACTCACAGAGACATGTTGGTTCATATGGTCATATGGTTACTTTTGTAAATGCTGCTCCTTCTACATGGAACATGTTGCAAAAAGACTGGAAATTATCTGAACTTATTTGAACAGTTACATGTAATTATGTAACTGTTTTTATAATCAGTAATTTTATGAAATTGTATGTGACTGTTTTATAATGTAACTTTTGCCAAGGACTCCCTTGAAAGGAGGTTCTTAATCTCAATATATATATATAAATATATATATGTATGAGGTGACTCTTTGGTGTACCGCTAGAGGGAGCCTCGCATACCACACTTTGAGAATCACTGCTCTATAGTTGAAATTCTGTCTTTCCTTTTCAAAGAGACAAGATGAGGCAGCCCTGCTGCGTGCCTCACCCCAGATCACTCCCTCACAGTGGACTGTGCGAGTGCTCTCAGCTCGTGCTGTTGACTAACCACAGACATTTGTCTCCAATATCCTGCTTTGAAAACATTTGCTAAACTTGTCATAGTGTTTAGTAATGTATGTGTGTACTATTTATATTTAATTAAAGTCTAAGGAAAAAGCCTGCTTTGAGGCAGTGAGGCACGAGGAGTCTCACTCTCCTCACGTCTCACTCTCCTCGTGTCTCTCTCTCCTCGTGTGTTTCCCTCCATATAGATTTGTTGTGTGATGTAATACAATTCAGTTGTGGAGTTAACCACAACCGTATTGTACCTCACACGACTAAGTATTTGGAGCAGCATGCTTATTCTTACCCTGGCCTTCAAAGTGCTACTCTTCGCATAAAGAAATTAATTAGCCATGCAAAACCCTGAAGATTTTCCTCGGGTTTGATGCATAAAACAGTCAGCACAAATGACTCTTGAATCATTTAACATTTAATAGTCACATTCTTGTGTTATTCTTTGACCTCTTAAAAACCTCGTATGCCCTGGAGCCCCCTGTCCTAAGGGCTCTGTGCTCTTTGTTAATGATTCTGGACACAGCCCTGGAAGCATCTTAAAGCACCACTAACATGATACGCCAATAGATTTAGTAGAACCTCTGCAAACAAACCATTCCCACACAATAACAACTCAATGGCCAATATGAACAGAATATAGCCTGACTTTACTGATGCATCCAAATATATCCTAATATGTCCTAATATCCATTGCGAATACCTTAAATTGCTTCCACTTATTCCCTCTAAAGTGAGAGGGAAGGAGTGAGCAGGGTTGGAGCCAAATGAGCATCTGTTTCATCCATACCCTTTTCAAACTATGTATAACTGTTTATTTTTCTTTTAAATTAATAGGTAAATAAAATAAATAATGCGAATGTCATGGGCAATCTATATATTTAGAGAAACAAATAGCCGAGGTTTTCTGCAGAGAGACTGTAGTGATCTCAGCCCTGTGCATGACTAGAACCATGTTTGGTTTAGTGAAACACAGTTTCACTAAAACCACTGTCTGTGTCCACCACAGTCTGTGTCCACCACAGTCTGTGTCCACCACAGTCTGTGTCCACCACAGTCTGTGTCCACCACTGTCTGTATCCACCACTGTCTGTATCCACCACAGTCTGTGTCCACCACTGTCTGTGTCTACCACTGTCTGTGTCTACCACTGTCTGTGTCCACCACTGTCTGTGTCCACCACTGTCTGTGTCCACCACTGTCTGTATCCACCACAGTCTGTGTCCACCACAGTCTGTGTCCACCACTGTCTGTGTCCACCACTGTCTGTGTCCACCACTGTCTGTGTCCACCACTGTCTGTGTCCACCACTGTCTGTGTCCACCACTGTCTGTCCACCACTGTCTGTGTCCACCACTGTCTGTGTCCACCACTGTCTGTGTCCACCACTGTCTGTGTCCACCACTGTCTGTGTCCACCACTGTCTGTATCCACCACAGTCTGTGTCCACCACAGTCTGTGTCCACCACTGTCTGTGTCCACCACTGTCTGTGTCCACCACTGTCTGTGTCCACCACTGTCTGTGTCCACCACTGTCTGTCCACCACTGTCTGTGTCCACCACTGTCTGTGTCCACCACTGTCTGTGTCCACCACTGTCTGTGTCCACCACTGTCTGTGTCCACCACTGTCTGTGTCCACCACTGTCTGTGTCCACCACAGTCTGTATCCACCACAGTCTGTATCCACCACAGTCTGTATCCACCACAGTCTGTATCCACCACTGTCTGTGTCCACCACTGTCTGTGTCCACCACTGTCTGTATCCACCACAGTCTGTATCCACCACAGTCTGTATCCACCACAGTCTGTATCCACCACTGTCTGTCCACCACTGTCTGTGTCCACCACTGTCTGTCCACCACTGCCTGTATCCATCATAATTTCCGCCCAAAAAACAGCAGGGTTCCAACTGGTGATTTATTTACACAACATCAGCGGCAAAGACATCTACAAAGTTCTACCTTATATTTGGCACATGGTCTTGGTCATGTAGACTATACAGTTTCCTAAAAAATAAATGTATATCATAAGTGCTACCTGGGCTTATGAGGCTAAAGAAAACATAGTAACAGGCAAGTCTAAAAAGCAACAGGGTAAAAAGCAACAGCGTAAACATACTGCTGTACATTTAAATGCTGTACTGGTAAATCTTCTAGTGTGCACTGTTTTACTAAGCAGAACTGAAGAGAAAGAGATTAGCCTTCAAAGATGAGAGCGGCGTTCTTGTATAATATGCCTTATGTGTTGAATACATGAATATTTGCATTGCAGGAAACACTGAAAGGTTTTGATTCTGGCGTCAAGTAGGAAAAAAAATCATTCATGTATGCCCTATGATGTGATTAATTGTCTGGGTTTTCTTCAGTATTTAGCGCCTGTCTTATGCTCACTTTCCCCCTCTACCTTTCTCAAAAACCTCACCTTTACTGCCTGACATGTTCTGTATCTTCTGCTGGGCCTATTAGTGTGCTTGTTAGTGCTGGCTCTCCACATGGTGCAACACTAAGATTGTCCTTCATCAATTCGTTCCCACTATTCTTCTCTCCGTGTCTGTGTCATTCTTCTCCCCAGTCCCAATTAACATAACTGGCAGACGGCAGTAGCCAGACCTGTAATGATAACGGTCAGAAGAATCGGTTGTTATCTGGAGCTTTGCGTTCTACTTGTGGCCTTTTTCTCCCAGCGGAGCTAATAATTCATTGGGCTTATCTTAACGGCGGGTATGTCCTACCAACCCTTGCCCACCCACCCAAAGGAGCGTTCGAACAGGCAACTGCAGAGACTAAACGCTTTGATGTGAGGGCCTTCAAGCATGTGGTGCGGTAATCCATTCCCGTTGCGCATCAGTAGTAGCTTCCCATCATTCCTTAAGCTCCCCCGGGTGCACGACTTGCTCAAGCACGGGCCCAGGCCAAAGCTGTTTAGTAGTTTTTGCAGAGCGGCGAGCTGTGGTGCCAAGAACCAAGAACCACTGGAAACCATTTGCCTTTTCGATTTCCACTTCCTTTGAATCTCATAATTATTCTTCCTTGCTCTCGCTCATTTTCTTATTCTAATCCCCAATGATGCCTTCACCCAGCCCATTTTCATGTTTTCTGCAACAGTACGGCATTTATTCAAAAACACTGATTCACATTCCCTGTGCGATCGTCTATATTCCTCCCGCTGGCATTTCAGTCAACCTACCAATGAAGTCGTTGCTCATTCCCAAATCATAGTCCCACACAGAGATCTCCAGGGTTTTCTTTGCCAGATGGTCCAGGGACACTTCATAGGAAAACTCCTGTTCAGGTGGCACACAAGCACATTTTATTATCAATGATTCATTGGCAGATGAAAGAAGAAGAAAGAAGAAGAGATTATGCTACCAGATTATCTTGGGGCAAAGATATCAACTGAAAGTTTAATGGCTAATCAGCTTCATGCAGTGTTGAGAGAATTATGAAGAGAACCTTTATTCCCCACACAGTTGGTCAATTTGATTTTTTTGTGTTTCCCTGCATATAACAGAAGGATTTAAAGGAGCCCACAAACAAGGTCAAAGAATATAATATAGACAGAACATATAGCAGATAAAGTGACTAGTCCCTTTTCAGGAGACGCATCGTAATCTAATATTGCACTACAAACAGTGTTGGAAGTAATGCGTTACAAAAGTAAAGTAATTACTGTAATGCGGTTAAAAAACTGGGTAATACGTTACTCAATGCAAAGGCCAGTAATGTGCATTACGTTGTATTTTAACCCAAAAATAAAATGTTTTTTTTAAAATTAGGGATGCACCTAATTGGGTCAATACCATAGACTCGTACTTGTACTCATATCATGTACTCATACCATAAGACCTGATACCGGCAACCAAATTTTAAATGTACATTAGCGTCACGACAGCAGACAGCTGCTCCTAAAGTCTGCAGTGAGCAAGCATTTTCCGGTAGCTTAACGCCAAGCTAGCGGCAAGATGTCTGCATGTTGATGTCGTTCGTATAGCAGCTTTTTAAGAGCAAACGAGTGACAAGAGTAAAGCAGACTGTACGATGTCTAAAACTGTCACGAGGTGGACTCAAAACAAACACTTATTACACCTGAACATCTGAAAACTAGTATAGCAGCAAAGTGTATAATGCAGCACTCTTATCAGTATTCGGTATCGGGAAGCCCTCAAATCACGGTACTTGGTGTCTGTTTTGAAAAAAGTGGTATCGTTCACAAGATCAGCAGAGGAGAAACAAGTATTACATAATGCATTACATTTTTGAAGTAACTTGTCCAACACTGACAACAAACCACCGATGTAAAGTGTTGAGTCGTACCTCATTGAACTCCGGGTTGAGAGTCTTCTTCTTCACAGATGTTTTGTACTTTGACTTTTTCCCCATATCTGGCTGCAAGACGCTGGAATATAAATAGAAGATTGTGAGTATAGAGAGCCCACAAAAAGAAATTGAAACAGGTTGCCATTGTACCTGTGAACACTCACAAGCCTGCAAGGTTTTGCCACTAAATGTTTTAAAGGCAGCATTCCCCGCAGCTTTTAGTTCACAGTTATTGTCTGTTTTGTTCATTTATTGAATACCTCGGTTGTAGTAAACTTTCATCTTTCTCATCTTCAACATCTTTCAGAACCAGAAGTCTGGAATTTACTTTATTTTTCATGATGGTGCCATAAAAGATAATACAAAATAGTAAAATAGCTGTAAGAAGGCATGCAATTGAAAAAGCGTAATAATACAATTTCATAGTACGTACGGACAATAATCTTGTCATACGGTGAAGAACTAGAGCAGGTTCTCAGTGGGATGTGAGTTATAAAATGGCGGGTTTAGATTTCATGAATCCAACTGCCGATGGCTCTGAATGTATGCGAATGTGAATGAATGCATAGTGACATCAGTGTATGCCTGATAAGCACAAGAGCAGGACATTATTATATCATTAAATTGTCTATGCAAAACTAAGCTTGAAAACTTAGGACCAACTCCTTCAAGACTTTTGGATGCAATGAAAGAAAAAAAACATAGAGTTTTGCACGAAGGGCTGTTCAATACACACTGATCTGTATTATGTCAAGTTAGTGTAAAAAGCAGGCGACAGAAAGATAACTTGAGGGCAAAAAGAGTCGACATCACATAAATTCAGAATCAAGATGTTGGGCCACAGAGTGAGATCTCTCGCTCCTCCAGTCTTCCCTGGACCAGTGACGAGTCCTGGCCTGACAGCTGATGCATGAGATGGGCTCTGGGCTGTCAGTGTGGCCCGAGCCAGAGCCAGAGGAAGATGGGGGTGGAGGTGGGAATCAGCAGAAGGCAGGAGGAGGAAGTGATAGTGGAGTCGCTCTATATTACCACACGGTGCAGGAAATAAATGCCACGCGAAAAGGGAAGATTGACAGGCAGCGGCTGTACCATTATGAGTACTTGTGTTGACAGTGGACATGAAGCAGCTCATTAATTCTGACATGACTTATGGTGATCACAACTTGCAGCGGCTCACGTCACACACAAATGGGTTTTGTGATATTTAAATAACTGCAGGGTATGGTGTGGGAGAAATGGCCCGTAATTCACACCTCAGGTTCTGACAAAGTAATGATCCTGAGGTGAAAACATATGAGTCATTGTGTATTCAGAAAACAAAAGTTCTGTGTATAATACATGGTGCATAGTTGAGTTGGAGTTCTTGCATAGTGTTTTTTTAAACGTTAAGGAGGAAATTAATGAATCGTAATGAATCGCATTTCTAACTATCAGCAAAATGATGCCATATTTTTCTGTAAATGGTTGTTTGAATGGAAAGATAAATGACAGCATAGTGTACATATGCACTGTATTTGTTTATTATAACAACAATAAATCCAGATAAAATAGCATTAACATTATTAACATTCTGTCTTTCTGTTTAGACTCAGACCAAAGTTAGTTGAGGGACATTTCAAAACAGTCTGAAATGCAGAATGTCATTAAATCTGTTTGATTTGCTCACACCATCACTTTTTTTGGCACAACCAACGTGAACTGGTAGTGGAAGGGAAAATTAGGTACCCCAGCTTTAATTTAGTGAGCGCGCTTCGGGAGAAGACACGGAGGAGACTCCGTAGTCCAGCTTCAGCGCTGTATATTGTGTGCACCGGTTACGCACACTACAAGCAGAGAATAGTTCTGTGCGTGGTCTGATATGATCACATTTCGGCGGCGCCGTTCGCCGTGATCACAACCCCTGGAGGGAACCGCTGTCCAGAGCGCCCGCAGCTCAGCTCGCAGAATACATGAAACAACAGCATGTGCCCCGCCGTCACGTATGTATTCTTTGAAAACTTTAATTCCCAGAGGGCCTACCTGCTCTGTCACCATCTCACACACGCACGTGTTCGCGGTATTCTGAGTGTTATGAGATGTATGGGCTGGTCATTTGGTACATGCGTCAATAATTCATGATTTTTTTTTTATTAACGTGCGTTAACGCGATCATTTTGACAGCCCTAATGTTAAGATGATATATTTGTCCAAATAAAATGGAAAAAGCTAATTAACTGTGGATAATCGTGAATTTAGCGTTGAACCGGCATTGGGCATTGGACCAGCGCGCGCCAGTCCAACGTGAAGTCCAGTCCGTGGGTTAAAGTCAGTGACGTCCTGGGCTGTCCTGGGCTGTCCCTAGACACAGTGCAGTAAGTGGGGAACTGGAGAGTCTTGGACAAACTAACATCTATCCTTCCTGCTGCGGTCAGACTGTACAACGAACAATGAGAACTAACAAACACTGCCCACCGGTCCTCACAAGTCGTGCAATAATTTGAAATAATGACAAAATGTGCAATATGAAAACACTTGTGTCCACTGTCACTTTTATTTGTCCCAGACCCTCACGCGGCCAACATGTGCAGATGTATACATACAACTATATATGTATTTCATTTGAATATAGAGTATTTTGTATATTTGATCCCTTATTATCCCTTAATATCTTTATTTTTTTTTCCTTGCCGATGCAGGAGGTTCTGTTGGACAGTTGATCCAACAGAACAGATCCAGGACACTTTAACATTCTACAACATGTATGGACATTTATCAACATGTGTTCTATAATATTTTTTGTGGCTTAACTGTTGATTCTCTGATCTGTGTTGGTGATTTCAATGGTTTTGTTAAGTCCTCTGAGATTACTACTGTTGTGATTTAGGGCTATACAAGAATAAATTGTATTGTGATTGTATTGAATAGAATTATTGTTCACTTTTCTTGAGCTGTGTGCTCCTCATTCCTACTGTTCTGTAATCAATGATGTAACACTGAAATGAGTCCACTGTGGGATGAATAAAGGCTCTCTTAATCTTAATCTTACTCCTAATACTTTGTTCTCTGTTTTTGACTTTGTTTCTTTGACTTTTGCTCATTAAAATTTTGGTGTTAAAGACAAAGTATTATGAGTTTTGTCTCTTAGCGCCTGTAAATTACATTATATTTAACGCTTATTTCTGGACCGATAGCCTTTGATTTTATAAGATTAGGTTTATTTTCAAATGATATTTACAGTGTGAATGCAGCAGTATGTTCCGAGCTCTGGTTCCCTGGCTACTATCAAATTCATGATGTTTCACCCTGAGCTAATCCCAGTTGATCCTAAAATACCCGGTCTCTCTTCACAGGGCAGTAATCAGAAGGGCAGAGACGTGTTGGAGGAATCAATGGTGAGGAGCAGCCAAACAAAGACCGAGTTTGACCAGGCGCCTGTGAGGTGAGAGCCCGAGGGGCGCCTGTGTTAGCCGCGCCAAATCACATTTTATAGGTGGTTCTGACGGGAAGATCAGACAATACACAACACAATATCACGAGTGCAACACCTACATTATTGGTGAAAAACAGTCTGTACTACTGCAGCCCAACTGTGTCTGAGCAATTGTAGAGATTTTGATGTGAAAATAATTTAGTGCCAAGTGCTGCACAGAGATAGGAGGAGCCATTATCCATTTGTAGGAAAAATGCTATAGTTACACAATGTAACCGTATACTGTACATGCAAATAATGTTTGCAGAGATTAAATACGTAAATGTTGATAGCAATCATATTACTTAAGGATGTACATTCATTCCACCCTCAGTTTCAGCAATAATGGTTTGCAGATACCAGAGAATACCAGGTGAATTGAGGTTCATATGATATGGAAAAGTATGGCTAAAATGTATTAATATTTCCATTATATGCATTTAGGTAGTTTTTAGGAAGAAGCGCTTAACTACAAAATATGAAAATAGTTTCCTTAGAATGATAATATCCCAATACATTATAATACAACATGAACTCAAAAAGAGAGAAAACTCTGACGAAGTGACATTTAGAGACGCTGTGTGAGTTTCACTAGACCACAAACTGCACCAAACAGAAACGTACTTTTCAAAGTGATGAAATACGGTGAGTGACAGTTGGAAAGATGGGCTAAATATACTGTATGCTCTGTGCAGAAAGCACTCATGAATTGTATTTATCATGAGAAAGCAGAAGACAACAGAGACAGGAGTGGGGCTGGGTCAGCAAGAAAAACTGATACTGTATTTTGTATTTAGATTATTTTCAACCTTCTTTTGTCAGTTTACATAACTTTTTTTTGAGAGGATAGCATCAATATGCAGGGACAATGGAACGCATAAAGACCATTAGAGTCGTTTTGAAATGTTCTTGTGAGATGAATACTGTTGGGATATGTCTGACCTTTTCTCACTGTGGCCTGTGAAGAGTGAGTGTGAGTCAGAAAGAGGAACCTCCGGGACAAACACAGCAGCACAGGCCACAGCGACAGCACTCGCCAAGCTTTAGTTACACGCTGCATTCATGAGAACAACATGGAAACAAAATGTGCTACTATATAGAACCAAAACTTTATTTATATATTTAATTATTGACATTATTATTATTTTGGCAGTTATTTTGACGCAACAGAGCATTTACAGACAACAATCATATGAGCTTTAGTCCAGGGGTGTCCAAACCTTCAAGTAAGAGGGCCACTTCACTAGACCCCTCTATTGGCCGACAACCCGGACTTTAAAACTGTTTTAAACACATGTCAGTAATAGAGTTAACAACTTAATTCCAAAAGTTCTGAGCTTTACTACAAGTTATAGCATGACTATATTGGTGGGGCTGAAGTTGGCTGGATGACACTGTCAATGTGCCTCAATGGCTATTTTATGCTATCGAGGTAGAGGGCTACATGAAAAAACAATGTCGTTTGCATTTGATCCTCGGGGCATAGTTTAGACACCACTGCTTTGTGATTTGAAAGTCAGGAGAAAACTGGCTTTAGATCTTTTGTTTTCGAGAACATTCCAGATGGTCTAAAAATATATACAGCATACTTTCTTAACTGAACTGTGGAGCTATGAACCCACTGGAGATCTCCTATTGGCCTGGCACGATTCTTCTGTTTAGTAAACATACTAGTTTTTACTTCTATAGACTTGAGTGATGATAAAAATAATGCGTACGACATTCCCACTTAATTCCAAACTAAAAAGGCATACATATCAGGGTATTGAAATTGGGATTTGAGAACTGTGCAGGGAATCAATAATGATGTAGTAAACACTGTGGCAGAACGACATGGTACTGTAAGCAGATCCCAGTAATGAATAAATAAAATCTGAAAAGGATTAAGTAAGGGGAAAAATGAAGCAAAAAAAATCAATGTTGTACAAGAGTGGGTTGTGTGTGATAGATATGGCTCTAGGAACAAAACACAATATTAGACATTCATTTAGAAGATAATAGGAAAAGATGGGCAAGATTAGGAAGAGTGATTTGAAATGTCTCTTGCGACATCAATTTAGCTGAAAAAGGAAAGTTCTCGGCAGTGTCACATGAACTGCCTTGTGAATGATGAGCAGCTGTGTGCTCGAGTGAACTGGAGTTTCCACAAGCTCTTACTTCATTTCGTTCATTGCTGTGCTTTGCCCAAAGACTAATTCATTTGAAAGTAAGGGTGCAGGAGATGGTTCTGAACAGGTGATTAGATTTTCTGCTGTGAGCTCGTCAGAGAGAGACAGACAGGAACAAATGAAAGCCCTTGTATTGCATTCATTTGCATATGTTGTGCAGTGTCTTTTAAGGTGAATAGAATGCCTTAGGCTGTTATGAAAATGCAGTGTAGTACCTTACAAGGGCAATCAGAGCAGGAGATGGAGCAGGCAGAAACGTTGCACTGCACATCAAGTAAGTTAAGAAATCAGCCATAAACATAGTGCCTCACAAAGGACCGGGCATTAGAGGCAAAAATCAATATTGAGGAAGGAGGAAAACCTTGCCTTGCTTTTCTCTTTTACAGAAAATGTATTGGAGTTTCTCACAGACAATAATTTTAGTTTTGGATACACTTCTGTGCACTTTAGAAATTATTTATATTATTTCGGATGGAGAATGTGATTATGTCACAATATGGTCAAGTGGTTTTAGCCTGGCTTCCTCTTTAAAACTGTAAACCTAATTTTAGTTTGTTACTCTTTAGTCTAATTGAATTTAGTTTGATTTCAAGATGCACAGAAACACAGACAAAACCTCTCTAAAAAGACTTGTCTGAGTGCAGTATGTAGTCTTCTTACAAGAAACATTTTTTGCAACTTCATATCCTTATAATCTCTCCATCCATTTTCTTTCCCTTTATCAATTTCTGCTTCAGGCAAAGTGGGGTTCGGTGTCTTGCCCAAGGACACAACGACAGCAGACATCAGTGGCAGTTGGGAAATAGGTCTTGTGGTGGGCTCGAACTCATGACCAAGCTAAGATAAGTAAAGAGGAAATGGTAAAGTGTGCTTCACATATAAGAAAATGGTTTTTCCATGCATATTATTTATTTATCTATTGACCTTTATCCAACAACTAAGGTTCTACTGAGATTACAGAGCAACATTTTCAGGGGAGACTGGGGATCAGGGACTATTGAACATGGTTGTAGGGGAACCTACGCAGACACGGGAAGCACTCCAGATAGGAAGGCCTTAAGACTTCTAAAGGGAACCCAAGACCTTCTTGCTGTGAAGCACAAGCATTAAACGCTGTGCAACCGTGCTGCCCATAGTGACACACCAGTATAGATTGACAGCAGGAGGACTTCTAACCTTTCCGCCAACACTTTCTGCCATGGAAAACATTGTGGAGGGCAGAAATAGAAGACAAACTGTCAACCAACTATGCTAGACATAAGAAGTCAGCATAAACAAAACAAACATTTATAACAAAATGAAGGGGATATTTCCAATAAAACATAAAATGTCTAAACATGAAATGTGTAGGATCCATAGTTATCAAGTGTTTGGTTCCACTTGACATAAACCATTACAAATAATGTCTTTATAAAATGCTTTGAACATGGTGCTGTGTGTTTCATGCCTCTCACTGCTGCAGGTAGAGGCCGGTTCAGCACACCGGTCACATCAAAGATTAAACTGTGTGGGTTTTTATAGTCAACAGTAAAGGCCATTGAGGTAGCAGAACCACTCCACTTATTTTTCCCCACAAAACCTCTTCATTGTTCTGAATGTGTGGTGACAACAACAACATGCTAGTAGTAAATGCAATTCAACAGCTTTTCAGAGATGACAGCTTCAAATGGGTTTAATAAAATAAAAAAAATGCATTGTGACCACCTTGCTCTGCACTATAACATATGCTTTTTGTTAAAATAGCTTTTTCTAAAATAGCCCCCCACCTTCAATTTGTTGACGAAAAATAAGTTGTTAGCTCCATGGGAGAGAGCTCAACTAATTTTGTCTAGTCAGGAGGCAATTTAAAAATTCTCTCAAATCAAAAAGTGGACGTGGATGATATTTTCAATCCAAATTGGCACAATATCAGCACTGTCGGGGCTGAATGTTTGGCCACAACCATAGAGCAGCTTTTCCACACACAAAATCACTGACCTGGTAATCAGCTCACACCTCATAAAGTTATGTTTGTTTTTATATGGACCCTTTGTGTGTCTAAATTAAAGATTAAATATAAAAATAAATAAAATAATGAATAAAATAAATAAATAATGGCGTTTATACAATTTAATGAAAAAAATCCTTAGATTCATTTAAATGTGTCTGTTTGCTCTAAGATAATAATAATAATAATAATAATAATAATAATAATAATTTATATAATGAGATTGAAATTTTGAGAATTTACTGAATCAAATGTCTTATATCTATGAGCTTCATTGACTCAGTCAGGTGACTCTCATTACACATCTCTTTTGGGACAATGCCAGACTTTGTCACGATCAAACAGTAGGAGATTGAAGACTGTCGTATGGGCTACGCTTATACCACTTTTCAGCTTTCTACATGCAAAATAATGTGGACCCATCTCCCATAGGCACCATGTAATTATTGTTTTGAGGAGGTGCTTTACGTTATCTTTTAAGGCAGACATCTTGCAGGAGTGGTTATAGCTGCCCACATCTATTAGGCCAATGTACACTTTATGGCGTTACAGACAGAGGTTTGGCCTAATTGGCTTTTTTGTTTAGTGTGCCAATTATCTGGTGCCTTGGTTAAAACATTATTTATCAAGCTGTTTTCTACAAGCCTTAATGTTATACATTTTTTACTCCAAATTTTAATGAACTGTCAAACTAAATTGAGTTTTTGAAAACAATTTCCCTTTGTATGTTTTTTCACAAGTCTGCCCCACAGAAGTTATCAGTCCCTTGTTAGGAATAACACTCATATAGCACTATTCATTCACTCAAAGACACATTAAACTGAAAAGAAAAAAATTGTAACCAGAATACAACAATATTTGAATGTAAAGGCAATCGCTATGAGGCATATTATCAACACCTCAGCACGTTTTCAACACCAGAATCTTACTGAAGCTGTTAGGTGAAGTTAGGTACTTTGACTTTTGATCAATCAATGTTATTAATGTAATCAAATCCATGTTTCATGTTCCTATCTCTCGTAACTGGTTGTCTCACATGCATGCAATTTTGGCATCTTTAGATAATTTTTTTCTGTGAAAAAGAGAGAACCACCCTCACTCTCGCCAATCAGCTCTCAATATATAAAAGAACTTTCTAAGAAGTTAAAGACAGCATTTTGTGGTCGTATAGGTTACTTAAACAAAACTCGTTATTTTGGGACAAACTAGATGTTTTAAAGAAACAAATAAGTTAGGTACTCCAGCTTAATAGACCTGTCTATGTTGTAATTATGGTATCCTTCAGTCTGTCTTAAAGCAAAGTGACCGCATTACCTTTTTATTACATAATTTTTCCTGGTTGCCAAATCCAAAGTGGTGTGCAGATGGGAATAATTAGGCGAATAACTCACTGATGGGGTTTTGTGACATGACTTACATTTTTACAAAGGGGTCGGAGTAGCCATTGGAGTCCATGGCAGCCAGATGGGCACAGCGTATGATCCCCACCAGTAGGCAGCCCTTCTCTGTGTTATAGCAAAGCGACACCAGGATGCGGCCGCGCTGGAGACACAAGGAACAAGCATCAGACAACCCGCACCTGCTTCCACCTCGACATGTCCTGCTTTCAAAAATACACTGTGGGAATCCTCCCTGGCTTTGTGCCCTGGCCATGAAAAATGCATCGACATAAATAAAACATGCAAATACAGCCTCTGTGATTTTGGAGCACGCGGCTGGGCTATGTGTTTAAATGGAAGTCAGTAATTAAAGAAGTCGTTATCTGAAACTTGCTGAATTAAACTGGCCTCAGCTTCATCTCAAGGCTGAATTATAAACCATGAAGTAAATGCTATTACCCTCTGTACCGAAAACCAAGAAGATGACAAAAGCTCTGGCCGCAAGAGGAAAGACAACGAAGCAAACAGACTTGCCTTCAAACAATTTGTAAAGAAATACAAGTTTAAAAGACAATTATCTCATTTTTGTTTGATGTAAGTCCACAAACTTATTACATTAAGTTTGAAGCTTCAGTAATACTGAATGTCTGAATAATGAAATAACAGCTGCCATTTATTCCACAGTGCAATCTGTGCATACGACAAACATCTAACTTTGTGCCAGTTTAGTTCCAAGTGATCAAACCCAGTAAAAAAAAGAGTAATTGCATTTTGACTAAATACAATGAGAAAAGGGATTATCTGAAATGGTTTGCGATTGGTTTTGCCTATTTCATTTGAGGCCAGATAGGTACTATATCTGGTGACACGAGCACCCAAATTATGTGATTTTTACTGCTACTTAATTTCACAACATAAGATGAAAAAGTTATACAGGTATAACCCTGGCATGCATCACAGGGAAAGGGGCGGGACTAGATACATGTGACCCTTTTTCAAGTGTAAACATATGTCATACTGTTGTATGACATATGTTTTTATTACTCTTGTGATATTGTTGCTTGTATGACATACTTCAGTTGAAAGCTTGAAAAGCTTCATACAAATGTATATAAATTCACAATACATGAATGGTATTGAATATATATATATCCATCCATCCATACATTTTCTTCTCCATTTCTGGGTCAGGGGGGTGGCAGTCAGAGCTGTACACAGAGCACCAGCCCCTCACTGATCCTCCTGCAGGTGGTGAGTCCACAGGAGTCTTGATCTTTCAGAAGGGGCTTCAGAAAAAAGTGGGGTTAAGTGTCTTGCCCCAGGACACAACGACAGCAGTCATCAGTGGGAGCTGTGAAGTAGGTCTTATGGTGGGCTCAAACACACGACCTTCAGGCCCAGAGGCCAATCCTCAACCAACTGAGCCAGATTATGGTTGTAACACTGAACACTGATAATACCTCTTCCTCCTCTGGTCCCTGCTCCACTGTTTGATTGTTGCTTTCTTTATTCTGCAATGACAAAGGCACAAAAACACGTCACATATATATGAACCCGCAGGTGAATATCCATTACACAATATAATGTAACTGTTCCAATTGATTCAGATTGCCCTTGAGGCGAACGGCCAGGAAAAGAATTGGACACATCTCGATATACATCGTTACAGACAGAAATCCATTTCCACTCTTAGTGATGTATTGCAATCACCTGTGCAATTCTCTCCAAGCCCATGTTATAGCGCTTGTTCTCGCCCTCTTTCAGCTTCTTCAGAGCGACCCGCACTTCGCCGATAAATTCATTTCGCCCGAGTCGGTCCATGTCGCAGACGCAGAGCCTATAGAACAAAAAAGGGCCAGAAAAAGTAGAAAATGCGTTATTGGGGAGATACAAACGCAACCATCACATCACTGATTATTGTGAGTGATTCTAAATATATCTAAAGAGCATTAGAACAATCAATCAGGCGCCCAGTGTGTAACCAAGAATGACGCTGTAGAGGCTTCTCATGAATGATGAGGAGTTGTGTGCGCACTGGAGAGGGCAGGGGCTTCCATGGGACAGGGCATTTAATAATTGACTTTGTGGCTCCATCTGCTCACTTAACTAAATTAAAAAGTGCACAAAGAAGATGCGCTAAACTAATACCAGAAAAGTGTTCATACAGTTCACATTGCTTATGATAAAAAACCTTTTTTCAAGTCAAGGCAAGGCATCACTCTCAAGTCATAATTCATTTGTCAAGCACCCTTCATGCAACCCATTTCTCAACCCCCATTTTGAGAAATAAAAATAAACATCAGGTTTTTCAAACAGGTATTCTTCCAAATCTAGGTATATTTCAAAACCTGATAGATTAAAGCCAAGCAAACTGGTTGGAAGATATTTTAAAATAGTTACAAAAAACATTACCCTGTATATTCACAAAGTAAAATAATATTAGCCCATCAATAAATATAGCTAAACCAGTTAAAACTGTTTGAATTTGAATCGAACAATTCATAACCATTGTTGTAGTAAACTCGCAATGGTCTCATATACACTGTAAATCCATTAAACGTACACAGTGGTGTGTATGCTGTACTTGCAGGGCATCATGGGAATTTCTAATCATGAGCAATGAATTTTTTTATTTGAGTGCGATTAATCTTCCAGCCCTGTGTGCATGCTCCCAATCTGTCAGAGTCGACAGGAGACTGTTTATTCTAATAATTTCACTACTGGTGATGAATAAAGGAGACCCATTGTACATGTTCAAGAAATTTTACAGAAAATCTGTATAGACCCATATGCTCTGAGTGAAAGACATCAATTATTTACTTATATTTTGACATTTTTTTATATTCTCTGGGAGCAAACAGTTTGCTGAAGTAACACTGGCCAGTTTTTGCTCACACCACAGCCTTGAGAGCAGCAGGACACACATTAAATGGCTTATTAGAACCAGTGAAAAAACAACAAATGAAATGGATATCTCAAGAGGGTAAAGATTTCAAGTACTTAGGACTGAGGAGGATTCCAATTAATAAAAATAAACATGTTTTCATGTTTTATTCATGCTTTATTTGACATAACTGACCAAAGGCAAAAAGCAAACCAGCCAAGTTTGTGGATTGCCCAATTTCAATATATAATTACGGAAACTGTCACAACTGAATACACTTAATGAAACCTGTCAGTCCCTAGAAACCCTTTTTTATTCAAGTCAAACCAGTAATCACGAAAAAGCATACATTGGATATGAATTGCATTGTTATGACTCAGGAGCTAGTGTTAACACTGCCTGACCCTGAAAAAGGTCATCACAATAAAATGTAACAACTTTTATCGCTCTGATTACAGCGTGCATTTGCTGTCGTATTGTCTCAATAAGATTCTGCAATGTTAAAATATTTATTTCCATCCAGTGATGCATTAATTTTTCACCGAGATCTTGTATTGATGAGGGTGGAGTGTCAGTACTGCGCAAAGCCTTCTTCAGAAGATTCTAAAAGGGATGATCTGAACGTTGGGATTGGAGGCTAATCCATGTGTGAAAGTGTCTCTGGCCTTTTCAACTCATCAGGAAAATGTAGTGTAATGTATGACCAGAGAGTCAGCTGATCTGAAGGCCACATAGATTTAAGATAAGATATACTTTATGGATCCCATAAAGGAGAAATTCAGTTGCATTTTTTTTTTTGCCATGTATTAAAAGGAGGGTCAAAGGTATTTGCTTACCAAAATTTAATCCAGATGTCTTTTTCAGTCAGAAAGTGTATGCTTTGATGTTTATGGTGGACTAAAACTGTCAAAATAATAAATAAATAAATGTCACAATCAGCAATTATTAATATAAAGCTATAAAGAGACTGCTCTCTCTTAGTTACTGCCTAATGTTATGAATCACTTGATGGCTTTTGCACATGTTTTATCGGATTAATCTTTCAATTGAAAATAAAAATCCCTTTCATTATTTTCCTCTCTGTTTGTATCCCCTCTATGATATATGTCTGGGGTGTGGCTGTAGTTTCATTGAGCCAGCAGCGCTCTGTGGGTGTTAAAACGTACACACTGAGAGCCGTGTGCTTTTAGAGGAACAAGGCAGGAACAAGTGGAGATCTCCATGATCTCTGTCAACTCTAGTAAAGGTGTCTCTAGAGCTGGCAGAGATCATGAGGAGATTCAGGGCAGCAGACCAGCACTGCACCCCACTAACAATATCTGATTGTCGAGCTTACTGCACTAAACAAATGACACTGTGTTGATGTAATCACACAGACACACACGCATGCGTGCGCAAACACACAAACACACACAGAAGTATTCTTTTGCACCAGATTCACCTCTGGTTCCATGGCATGGTCTACGCATGAATCTATTATATCTACTGTATACTCCATAGACTTTAGGTCTACCCGGCTAAGGCTCAGTAGTCCCTGAATAGTGGAACAATAGAGTTCCTGGTAAAAGGAGGGGGTGGGACATCTACAGCAGTGTCTCCCAAAGTGGGGTCCGCGGCCCCCCTGCAGTACCCTGGGGGGCCGCAAGAGGTCATCAAAAAATATATTTTCTATATATATTTATTGTACGTTAAAATAATAATATTTTGTTTTTAATATTAAAATATTTGTGTTCATTATTTTGACTTGAATAATCAAATTGTAATAATTTTTGTATAACAAAATGGGGTGCGTGATTTACATGTTTGTAGCAGAGGCTATTTCCACCAAATAAAATAACGAGAAGAGCCTCTTTTTAACGTTGTCTTCTTGGTTATAAGTTCGGGGGGCCGCGCAGACCCGTCAGATTTTTACGGGGGCCGCGGTGTCACTGACTTTGGGAATGGCTGATCTGCAGGAATCGTCCTCTCCCTCGGTCCTCTCAGTGGCAGTGTCTCCACTGCAGAGTAGGACCCATCACTCATCGGCGACGTCATGAGTTTCGATCGCAGCATAATAAATAATTGTTTATTTTACGGTCGGGACCGCTCCAGTTGTTGTGGTCTTTGAGTAATTATAGTCCTGCTTAATTTTTTTTGTTTACTTTGGCTGCATTACGTTTGTGTAAGCTCTCAGTCGTACAGGGATTAGTCAAAGCAAAGAAGGTTTCTCACCCATCATCTGTACTTCTTAGCAGGTTTTCCACTTTGATTTTCTCCAACCCACGTGCCAAGAGTAGGGCATCTCTCCCAAAGTTGGCAGCAATAAGTTTGTGTAAGCTCTTAATCGTACAGGGAAAACCTGCTAAGAAGTACAGCCTGCACCTCATCATCCGTTCATTTATCGTACATCTTGCTGTTGTTTGCGTTTTCCAGGTGTGTCTGCTAGGCTAATGCTACTTGGCTAATGCTGCTGGATTTTAAAATGCCGGTTGTTTTGTTGCTTTCTGCTTGCATCAGAGCATGTGCTAGCTTTAGCCAATTAGCGCCAGGTTATCCTCAAGCCCCACCAGAAGTTGTTCAGGGCTGAACAGAGTATCTGGCATGGAGGAGGTACTTCGTTGGTTCCTGTAAAAGTTCATGTAAATAACCCTGTTGGGGAGGTTACTGCAGTGGAGACACGCACCAATGGGGTGGGTCATGTGGGTCAGACCTCCTCACTGTGGGTCAGACCTCCCCACTGTGCGCACTTTTTCTTACAATATTTATATAAAATCTTAACCTTTGAATGAACAAGGAAATAAATAAATTCAGACAAAAAATAATTCTTTATTATTTAGTTTTTAACCAAAAAGCTTGGTATAATGATAATATACTGTATATCTACAAACAATTTGTAGTGTTATCTATCTTAATAAATATTTGCAGACTGTGACATATTTTTTTCATTCATTTATTTATTCTTTTCACAGTTTTGGTCCTCCTTGTTGCGTACTGTAGTAAAAGTTAACAAACCTGAACAAATCTTTTCAGCGTTTTTCTCTATACTTCCACCTGAATCGATATATTTTCTGCTGCTATAGAGGTTCTGTCAAATCCTTTCTACAGTGCACAGTTGAAATTCAATGAAGGGTGAATATTCCATCAGAGCACATCACCTGCTGAAAAAATCCTTGTGAAAAAATCCTTGAGTATTCCCACGTGAACTTTTCAAACGTTCCTCTCTTCACATTCTCATTGATCTACTCGCTTCCTGTTTCCTGTTCCCCTGACATTTCAACTTTTGGCGGAAGTAAAAACACGTTTTTCTTTCAAATCTCTTTCAGTTCGCTTTCAATTCTTCAAGGAATTCTTCAAATAACTAATGTGACTGAAGGACAGCGTTGTCTGTTTTTGCACCGAGCTTTTGGCCAGACTCGTCACCACCGTCTGCTCTGATGCTGTCTTTATCTTTGCATACTCTCCCCAAAAACCCTTCCCAAGTGAGACAGATGCCACTGGACACGAGTCAACCTGGGCTGCCAGTTTAGCTCAATTGGATTATCAGATTATAAAGTCTTGTAAGAAATGGGAACAGTGAAAACTTAGGATCAGTCTGAAATAGAAAATGTAAAATCAAGAACGCCAGCACTGTGGGAAATCAAATAAAATGTTTGCTTCTAAGACCCATATGACTAAGTTTAATATGAATTCTTAAAGCATATTTTCAACCTGAAATTTTTGTTTTCAATCTACAAAACATTTAGGTTTTGTGATTGACAAAAACTCAATCATCAAAATATTAACACGCTTTAATGTGGGACATTCCGTTTGTTAAATTAATCACGTCACAACTGTGATAATTTCTCATGTGACTTGGCACCAAATGAGGTTTTCTAAATCCTCCAATCCTTTCAACGGCAACCTCGACAGATCAGAGTGATTTTTCTACTTGTGCAGCTGTAGCAACGGTCACCCAAGGCGCCCAATCTTAACTCAGCCTTTCTCCACTAAATCAGGTCCTCTTTGTCCCAATCCCCTAACTGTAAAAGAGTCTAATTCAAAATCCGAACAGAGTCAGGCTGAAGTAGAAGCCGAGAAATGAGAAAGAAAAAGACTGGACCTGGTATTGTCTTGTGTCCACTGTGCAGATTCTTAAGAGTTTAAAAGGTAAGAAAGAGGATTTTCCCAAATGTTAGAAAAAAAACGCCCTCTCCACTTATGTTGTTGTTGTTGCAATATTTCATTTTAATTTTCAAGTTTCATACAAAATAACTCAAAAAGATAACAAATATTACACCCCCCTCCCCGGGTCACTCAACAAAACAAAACAAAATTAAAAGGCTCCAGTCTGACACAATAAAGTTAAAGCGGAGATCTTGGTCATGGTAGAATGGTAGATAGAGTATTACACAAATCCTGCCGAAAATATTTAACTTTCACACATGAACAAGTACAATGTAAAAACTACCTGGTTTCTAATGCACATCGAAAGCAGACATCTGATAGTTCAGGTTTAGACCTGTGAATTTTCTCCAGAGTTAAGTACAACTGATGGAGAAAATTCTAATGGATAAGCCTATATCGAGAATGATCTGTTCATCCATCCATTTTCTTCCCCGTTATCCATTTCTGGTTCGGGGTGTGGCAGTCAGAGATGCACCCAGTACACATACGTAGCACCAGCCCCTCACTGATTCTCCTGCAGGTGGTGAGTCCACAGGAGCCTTGATCTTACAGCCGGGGCCCTCAGGCAAAGTGGGGTTAAGTGTCTTACCCAAGGACACAACGACAGCAAACATCAGTGGGAGCTGTCGAGAATTAGTTGTAGCCAATATGCTGTCCTGACATATATCAGACCAAATATCTTCTTCAATTGTAATGTTTAAGTCTGATTCCCACCTTTCCTTAGATTTATACAGTGCTGGTTTAGGACATTCTTTTATCAAAATAGAATATACTTTAGATATAAATTTATATGTATCTTGAGAATGCAAATTTTTTTCAAATACAGTGAGATTAGGTAACACTACATCCTTTTCCCAAAGGACTGACTAGAAATGACCGCAATTGAAGATAACAAAAGAAAGTTTTGTTTGAAAGGTTATATTTGCCTTTCAGTTGTTCAAAATACATTAAAGTTCCTTTCTCTGTTGAACAGAGTATGTTGAATAGTGGTAAAACAGAGTAGAATTTTTAACCATCTAAGACCAGATGGGTTAGTGTTAGTTTTTATTTTAAATGCCTTTAATATGCAGATGCATTATAACTCCATGCGTAAGAAAACCCATGAGCACCCGCCAATAAAACGTTTTGGTTTTTATTGATGACTAAATAACAGCTATTTATCGGCGTGGTGTTCCCACATAACACACATTTACACAAAGACTGGGTCAAAAGGTTGGTTGAAAAGCGAGTTGTTCTTATACTCTGAGGCAGGTCGCTCAGTATGAAGGGGAAGGGCAATCTGTTTTTCTTTATCAGTAGAAACAAGGCTATTGTTGACACAGGGTAATGGGTTGATTTCTGGCCAGTGCAGGGTCATGTCTGTGTCATCGTTAAAAAGACACCTTTAAGATCATATACATGTTCATGTTAATATTTAGTCTCTGATAACCTTTTTTTGGTTTTTCACTTTTCAGGCTATTCACTTTTTGAAGAGTTGCCTTTATACATAATATGGACAAACATATACTTACTGAATACACCATAATGGAAAGTAATTGGGGAACTTTTTATCCAAGCCTTTGCAGCTTACTGATATTCAGTCATTAAGTGCGTTTTGCTGCTGCATAATGGCTTTATATAATCAGTGGCACAGCAAATGAGGGAAGGGATGTGAAGAGAAAAGTTGTGCCACGCTTTATGTAAAACACAAGCCTTTTAACTCCTGGCAAGAAGCTTTTTACTGACAATGAATACAATCTAACAAACTTTTAATGACTCAAGTGACTGTGACTCAGAGTTTAAAAAGATTGTTGAGAGAAATCTGAGGGCACCTCAGGTTACTACCCTCGCCCAAGCAATGATTCATACACATATTGATCACATATATGGTGGTTAAAAGAAGTTGCATAAGAGTACAATAAAACAGAAATGGGTAGTGTCAGCCCCTTCTGCTGTGATTTTGTTCTGTTTCAGCTATCTTGCATCAGAAATGACCACTCTCAACAGCCAAAACAGTGGCGCAGGCAAAATATATGATTGCCTCAGTACCAGGACACATCAGCAAAAATGTCTGCAGTTTTGCACACTGCTTGAAAAAAAATTCAACGTTATCTGTGCCACAACATGAGCTACTTCCCCTCTCATTGAAGTGTAAAAGTCACTTGTTGTTTTTACGTTTAATTTTAATGAGCTTTTTTGTCCTACAGTGCCGACTAGCCTAATTACACCATTATCTACGTTGTGAGCGCACGGACCCTGAGGCAGTGTGATCTACAGACGGTCTACAGAGAGTCGGTGAGCTCAGTGAAGCGGACAGGAGTACAGCAGGTATCAGCCTACGGCACCTTCCTGCTGGGACCAACACATGCACCGGCCACAACCCTGCAAGCCTACATATCTCTGGGGGAAAGCCTGCCGAGTCTGTGGCTATCTCCTGTACAGAGAACATAGTCTATTTAATGGCTGCTGTAAGGCAGTGGTTCTCTAAGTGGGGTCCTCGGACCCCCAGGGGTCCGTGGCCCGATATCAGGGGGTCCGTGAAAAGGGTTGGCTATTAATAAGAAAACTATATTTTATATTATTTTATTTTATATTAATTATTAATAATATTTACACGATTTTATATAACCGTGTGAATATTCACAAATCGACACTAAGTTTAATCTGCTATTTTTATATGAAATATAAATAAATAAAAAATAGATCCACGTAAATCACGTCCACTTATCAGTGACGAGCTTTGACGCGCGCAGGTTCTGCCTAGCTACTCAGCCATGGATGCGTTTTTAACACCGTCAACTTCATCTAATGGGGAAAAGGAAAAAAGTAAATTGTCTAAAGTTAAACAAAAAAAATACAGTGAGGACTACATCCAATTCGGATTTATTGAAAACAAGGATGGACGACCAAAATGCGCTTTGTGTCTGCAAGTGCTTGCTAATGAGGCGATGAAGCCTGCGAAGCTAAAGCGACACCTCATCACAAAGCACCCGGAGTTTAAAAACAAATCTAAGGACTTTTTCAAACGCAAAGCAGAAGAATATGGACACCAGAAAAAACGAATGGTGGAGTTAACTTCAGTTTCAGAAAAAGCGCAGATGGCCTCTTATCTGGTGGCTCAACGCATTGCTAAATGTAAGAAGCCTCACACCATTGGACAACAACTTTTACTCCCCAGCCGCAGTGGACATGTGTGAAGTCATACTTGGCGCAGAGGCTGCAAATAAGCTAAAAGTGATTCCACTTTCAAATGACACCGTAAGAAGGCGAATACAGGAGCTGGCTGCAGACATCGAAGCACAGCTGCTGGACAGACTGCGTTCATGTGAGCAGTTTTCAATTCAGCTGGACGAATCTACGGATATAGCTAATGCCGCTCAGTTAATTGTGTTGGTGCGATATCCATGGGAAGATGATATTGTGGAGGATTTCTTGTTTTGCAAAGAGCTACCTGGGAGAACAACGGGCGAGGAGGTATTCAGACTTGTAGACGCTTTCATGACAGATGCGAGTCTGAGCTGGGACAGGTGTGTGGCTGTTTGCACGGATGGTGCAG